AACCTGCCAGAATGGCCACCATCAACAAATCATCAAACAACAAGTGCTGGGGAGGGTGTGGAGAAAAGGGGACTCTAGTGCATTGCTGGTGGGAATGCAGACTAGTGCAGCCACTATGGAAAACAATATGGTGTTTCCTCAAAAAATTGAAAATTGAACTTTCATTTGACCCAGTGATCCCACTTCTCGGAATATACCCTAAGAAGCCTGAAACACCAATCAGAAAGAATATGTGTACTCTTATGTTCACAGCAGCACTGGTTACAATTATTAAGATCTGGAAACAGCCCAAGTGTCCATCAATAGGTGAGTGGATAAAAAAGCTGTGGTGCATATACACAATGGAATACTATGCAGCTGTAAGAAACATCTCTTATCCTTGGAGATGACATGGAGGGACCTGGAGAGTATTATCCTAAGTGAAATAAGCCAAGCAGAAAAAGACAAATATCACATGATTCGCTTATTTGAGGAATATAATGAACAAAACAAGTTATGAACAAAATAGACCCAGAGGCATAGAAGTAGGGTACAGACTGAAAAACCTCAGAAGGGGGTTGGTGGGAGGGGAATGGAGAGATAAACCATAGAACTTATGTGCATGTATGCGTAACCATGGACATAGACAACAATGCTGGGGATGCGGCCGGTGGAAGGAGGGGTTGGGAGGAGAGTGTCAATGGAGGAAAAAGGAGAAACATCTGTAACAAAAGTAAATTTAAAAAAAAAATTTTAATACAAAACATACCTAGAGACATAGAAAGGAGTATGGTTCAGACTGATAAACTTCAGAGGAGGGCAGTGGGGGGAGAAATGAGATAAACCAAAGAACTTATCTCCGTGTGTGCGTAACCACAAGACATAGAGAACAATGCTTGGGGTGAGGGGATGGGATAGAGTGGAGAGTGTCTGTGGGGGAAAAGAAGAAACATCTGTAACAAAAGTAATAAAAGATAAATAACGAATTAAAAAAAAGAATAATTTACCAAAAAATTATGTTAAGTATTTTATATCTTCAATTCATAGATTATGGCGACTTCTATTTAATTTTTTAAAAATATTTTTATGATTTCAGAGAAAGGAAAGGGAGAAGTATAGAAATATATATGAGAAAAACATCAGTCATTTGCCTCCTGCGCACCCCCTACTGGGGATGGAGCCCATCACTGGGGCATTGAGCCCATAACCCCAACATGTACCCTGACCAGAAATTAAAGCGGAGACCTCTTGGTGCATTTGGAATGACACCCCACCAACTGAGCCACACTAGCCAGGCTGTTTAATTTTTTCTTTTTTTAATCCTCACCCAAGGACATTTTTCCATTTTTTGTTCAGGTAGAGTGGGAGGGAGAGAGAGGAACAGAGAGAAAGAGAAACATCGACATGATAGGGACGGATCGAGTAGCTGCCACCAGCACGACCCAACCAGGGCCGGGGACAAATTGCAACCAAGGTACACACCCTTAGCGGGAACTGAACCCGGGTCTCTCTGGACTGCAGGCCGACGCTCTCTTCACTGAGCTAAACTGGCCAGGGCTGTTTAATTTTTTTGTTAATAGAAGGCAGAAAACTCTTGTTTGTTTCATTTATTAGGTATTATGCCCTAATATGTGTAATTTACTGAACATGATTGAATAGAACATTTTGCTTTGCTTTAATATTATCTGATTCTAAATGATCTAGATTGTTTGTTTCCAAACATCATCTACAGACTTTTTTTTTTTAATCCTCACTGGAGGATATTTTTCCATTGATATTAAGATAGAGTAGGGAGAGGGCGGGGGAAGAGAGAGAGAGAGAGGAAAATATCAGTGTGAAAGAGATACATTGACTGGTTGCCTCCCACATGACCCTGACCAGGGTCCGGAATCGAACCATAGCTGAGGCACGTGCCCCTGACTGGAATTTAATCTGGGACTCTGTGTTCCACAGGCTGATGCTGTAACTGCTGAGCCAAAGTAGCCAGGGCCATCTGTAGACTTTTTTAAAAGTTAAGACTTCTCGGCTCTTCCCCCAGACACTCTGATTCAGTAACTGACACAGGGGGATCTTCTTACTGTTTTAAAAAGCTCTCCAGCTTTTTTGCCCTGCCAGTGTAGCTCAGTGGTTGAGCGTGCACCATGCGCCAAGAGGTCGCCGGTTCACATGGCCAGGTGGTGGGCCCAATCCCCAGTGGGTGGGCATGCAGGAGGTTGCTAATCGATGTTCTCTCTCATCGATGTTTCTATCTCCCTCTCCTTTCCTCTCTCTCTCAAATCAATAAAGAAAAAAAAAAAATTTAAAAAGCTCTCCAGCTTTTAGAACTACTGGTATAAGCAAACAAAAAAAGAACATGACATTGTGAACTTGGGACATTCCTAGACGTTGGCTGTTGTCTTAAATCTTATATGTAAGCTTTCATAAAAATAGAGAGATATAGGGAAGTTTGAAGTCTAAAATTTTAAATCCCAATATTTTATTATGACAAATAATACATGTGTTTAGTCCCCTAAAAGTCTGTTAATTGCCTAAGATAATTCATTAAATGAAATTCACATACAAAAGAAGCCTCATTTTTACCATAGTTTTAACATCTTTCTTTTTTTTTTAATCCTCACCTGAGGACATTTTTGCATTCATCTTCAGACAGAGCAGGAGGAAGAGAAGGAGGAAGAGAGAGAAAGAGAAACATGGATGTGAGAGAGACACACCCACAGGCTGCCACCCACACAATCCTTTACCGGGGCTGGGGACAAATTGCAACCGATGTACATTCCCTTAGCGGGAACTGAACCCGGTCCACAGGCCGATAGTCTAAGTGCTGAGCCAAACCAACCAGGGCTAGTTTTAACATCTTTAAGCAACCTTTTTTCATTTTTTTCTACCAATTGTAGCAGTGACTAATATGATGAATTCATTTAAATTTTACTTTTCTTTATGTTGCTTAAAGTATTTATTGTTACCACAATAAATTTTGGTACAATTTCTATGGAGGTCAACTGACAATATCTCTCAATTATAAATGCCCATGGCCTTTAATCCAGAAGTTCTACTTATAAATCATCATTCTGTGGCTATATAGTTGATCTTCATTATTCATAAACTCTAATTTGCAAATGTTCCTACTTGCTAAGATTTATTTGTAACCTTGAAATCAATATTCATAGCACTTTTCTAGTCATTCAGACATGCATGAGAACAGAGTGACGAAAAATTTGTCTCCCCACGTGTATTCCCAACTGAGGGTGGACAGGGAGTTGCTCTGCCTTCTGTTTCAGCTCTCATAGTTCATTTTGTGGCCTTATTAGTGTAACGTTTTTCACATTTTTTAATGTATTTCCCTATTTAAAATGGCTACAAGCATGCTGTCTAGTTTTCCTGAGCGCGAGAAGGCTGTGATGTGCCTTATAAAGAAAATACATGTGTGTTATAAACTTGGTTAAGGTATGAGTTATGGTGTTGTTGGCCATGAGTTCCATGTTCATGAATCAGCAATATATATTAAATAAGGTGTCTTTACTCAGAAATACACATAAAACGAGGTTATTGATCAGTTGAAAAAGAGGCTCACAGGACCCTAACTCTGTATTTCCTTTGGGAGCAGTATTCACTAATTCATTTTTTGCAACAACTTTACAGAACATAGCTACTGCAAATAAGAAGAATCACTATACTTGCAAATGTGTAAAATGCTTGTAACAAGGTTATTTATTGATATATTATTTGCAATAAAAGATTTAAAACAACCTAAATGTTCAGTAGAAGACTAGTTAAATAAATTGTGGTACATCCAGACATTGGAATGTACCAGACAGTGCAATGAGGCTGTTTTTAAAAAATGAAAAAAGAAAACAACTGGTATGGAATAATCACTGATCTAAAGTGAAAGAAAAGACATAGTAAAGAGCTATAGAAGTCAGGGTGGGTGTGCATATGCATGTGTGTGTGGATAATTGCTAGAAGTTGAATAGAGTGTCTCAGAAAGTGAACTCAAGGAAACTAAGAACATCAGTTGCTTGCAGCATAGCTGAGAGCTAGAAGTAGGAAATAGAGAGGCATTTCACTGTCTCCTTTTGTATCTTTCAATTTTATACCATGTAAATGTACAACCTCTTTTAAAAGTTTATTTTTTTCTAATGAGCACAAAAGAAAACAAAGATTAAATATAAACTAAGTAATTAACAGTTGAATAATTTCAGGATAATTTTGTATTTTTTAGTTCTTATCAAGTATTTGTAATTCAGAAAGATAATAGTACTAAAGAATATGTTAGATACCAATGCCGTACCTTTCATTAGAGTAAGGTTGGGTATAATATTTGCATTTATGCCTAAAATATTACTGCATTATATTATCTTGATGTTGATATTACCTGTGAAGCTATAAGTAGGTTAACTTTTCTTTCTTTTTTTTTAATCCTCACCCAAGCATATTTTTCTGTTTATCATCAGATAGAGTGGAAGGGAGGGAGAGAGAGAAGGAGAGAGAGAAACCAATGTGAGAGAGACATCTACTGGCTCCCACATGACCTGACCAGGACTAGGGACGAACCGCAAGTGAGGCACGTGCCCCTGACAGGAATCGAACCCACGACTCATTGGTCCATGGGCCAATGCTCTAACTGCAGAACCAACCTGGCCAGGGCAAGTTCTTTAACTGTTCTAACAGTTGGACAGTTTGAAAATTGCATGTTCAGTTTTTAGCACCTACAAACACACACACACAAAACTATGCTACTTTTTTAAATGTCAGTATAGCAAGAAAAGTTTTGTTGTGTTATTATTGTTATGCGTTAAGACAAAAAAACTTAAAAGAGGGGGAGCCCCATTTCTATCCTAGGGTTGTCTATTATCTGCACATTTGATCTAGAATGAGAGGTATATTAGTGAAATGGAAAAACAAAATTATGATTGCTAAAATAAAATCAACTCATTCTAAGTTATTCCCTTCCTCCTACTAAAAATCAGTTGTTTTTATTCTGGATTTATGATTTCTAATTTTTTTTAAATTGTTTTTTGCAGTTACCCTGCAGTTTGTGAATTTTTACAGAATAATAACTTGTTGTCAATAATCAGAGCCCATGAAGCCCAAGATGCTGGGTAAGTTATATTAAAACTGTACCAAATATCACTGCAGAGTTTTGCCTCTAATGTCATGACATAAGGGCTTTCATCTCTCTTTTAGATATCGAATGTACAGGAAGAGCCAAACAACAGGCTTCCCATCACTCATTACTATTTTCTCTGCCCCCAATTACCTAGATGTCTATAACAATAAAGGTAAAGGAGTCCTGTGATATTTGAGTTTGAATTTGTGACTAAATGTGAACTCTAGTTTAACCATATGTATATGTATGGGTATTTTTAATATATATAAATTTTAAATAAGGAAAAAAGAGATTTTAATTGAAATAAAGGCCAAGAAACTCAGAATTTAGGCCACTGCTTGGTTTTCATCTCCTGAGGATTATCGAACTGTTTGTGAGTATAAATAATGACCATAATAGGTCTGATTTATACTATTGAATCAAAATATAAGAAGAATAAATTATTCCAGTTTAAGTTGGAACTGTCAGCATAAATTATTGGTTTTAGTGAATTTAATTTATTTATAACAATACCACAGTAAAATATCACCATTTAGTGTTTTAAGGTTTGTGCATTATTAAGCTGTTTTTGCTCTTGTTAAAGAATGGCACAGGTAGAATGAATACTATACCAAAGTGAAAAAAACTTAGTCCACACTGTTCCAGAAACTTGTAGTGTGATTTTAGGTAACTCACATAATCTCTCTAAACTTCAGTTTCCCATATAGGAAAAGAGGATTAACTATACAGATGTCTTTCAGTGCAGAAATTCTATTTCTAAGACTTTATCCTGTTAACATCTTTTTTAAAAGTTTAACTTTTATGAGTCATAATTACTAAGTTTTGTATCAGGGCAGTGGTTCTCCTAAAAACTTCATGCCTCTATAACTATTTTGTTGTCTATAAAGTATGACTATAAAACAATAGAACTTTCAAACAAACATGCCAGAACATATATATCCAAGTGAGCATTGTCCCTTGAAAGTAGTTACCTTGGGAGGCTATACACTTTTTCCAACAATACTGCCATCATTCAGAACATTTTTGGAACTACTCTTTTGGCATTGCCTTCAGAGTCTGCGACACATTCTTTTGATAATATCCACAATGATGGGAAATCTTCTTCCTTTGAGGGTGGATTTGATTTTTGGGACAGCCAAAAGTCATTCGGAGTGAAGACTGATAAATAAGGTGAGTGATCAAGCTAGTTGATACCATTTGGGGTCAGAAACAAGGTATGATTATAAGGTAATGAGACTGGTTTTCCTTGTGTTGCTTATAAAATGGCTCTGGAGGCAGTTCTAAAGAGGAGTTCAAAAACATTTTGAGTAATGGCAGCATCTTTGAATTGATTGTAACTTAAGGCAGCAAGGTGTATTGAAAAGGGCACTAAGCTAGGTGTCAGAAGTCCTAGTCTAGTCCTGCTTCATTTTAAATTCAATTGACAAGATAACCTCACTTTGCATTTGAGTTTATTTCACATTTAACAATACTTCCCTGAGACTCAGTTTACCTTTAAAATACCTGTCATACAGGGTTGGGATAATAAAAATGAAGTTTAAATCATCAGTCATTGCCCTGGCCAGTTTGGCTCAGCAGTTAGAGCATCAGCCCCCAGACCAATGAATCCCAGATTCGATTCTTATCAAGTGCACGTACCTCGGTTGTGGTTTGTCCCCAGCCCTAGTCAGTTCGTGCAGAAGGCAGCCGGTTGATGTGAGTCTATCACATCGATGTTTCTCTCTGTCTCTTTCTCCCTCCTTCCCTCCCCCTCTATCTAATGATAAATGGAAAGATATCCTCAAGTGAAGAATAAAAAAAAAAATCATCAATCAAACTGTAAATTGCTATAACACTATAACATTTTACTGTTATTGTGCCTGGTGTGATTACATCAGAGGACCACACTCATCTGATAAATAAGGTCTGTGTGTTTGTAGTCGGTGGTTTCTTAAGTCTCATTACTTTATAGTCATACCTTGTATATGTAGTTGGGGAGAGAAGTTTTAAAGAGGTCCACAATATACTTAGTATTTACTCTATTTCAAAGTAAACTATGGAATGACACATCACATTTAAATTGAATTTGGATCAATCATCTTGGTATATCTTTCAATGATTTGTTGTCCATATTTTAAAAGTATTTTTTTGACTTAAGTTCTTTCCCAGCCTTATGTTTTCTTTTCTAATCGTTCTTTTCTGAGTCTTATCTGCCTTACAGTTCTCTTCTTCTCCCTAATTCCATTTTTTCTTATCTCCTCCCTCCCTAATATTTCCAATATATTACCAGTTTGATTTTGTTCTTGTCTCCTCTCTTATGAATGGCATGCACTGCTTGTGTTGTTAAACTTCCTCAAGGACACTTAGTGTTTCTGGTCTTCATGTTTGTGAAGACTTTCCTTTCTCACTCCTTTTCGAAACCTTCCTATTATGACTATTGATTGCCCAGTGGGTTTATCATGTGCTAAGCTGAAACATGTCACCTAAATCAGAACAACTTTACTAACTCCATCTTGCTTTTTGCACTATTCTAATCTTGTTTTATTCTTGATTATTACTTTAGTAAACATTTATTTATTTATTTTCCTCACCCGAGGATATTTTTCTATTTATCTTTGGGTAGAGAGACAGGGAGAGAAAGGGAGAGAGAGAGAGAGAAACATCGATGTGAGAGGGACACATGGACTGGTTGCCTCCCACACGACCCCAACCAGGGCCGGGGACAAACCGCAACCGAGGTACATGCCCTTGACCAGAATTGAACCTGGGATTCATTGGTCCACGGGCCGACACTCTACCACTGAGCCAATCTGGCCAGGGCGCTTTAGTAAACTTTTAAAGTCACAGTTCATTCTACCTGTTTTCTGTCGACTTTGACATAATTGGTAACTTTATCTTGAAACAATCTTATTTCCCTTGGTTGTTTCTTAAGCATTTTGGGGGGGAAAAGGCAGAAAATATGGCACCTGAAATAATCTGTGGTGGTACTCAGTTGCTCCCCATGCAAGTACCTCTTTTCTTAAAACAGGCAACTCCCCTTTCTTCTACTGTGGTGTTTCTTTCTTGACTATTCTTTAGACTTATTGGTATCAATAGGTATTTCTTGGGTTCACTGGTTATATGAAAGACCCTTAAGTCATGATTTTTAAAGGTTTCTAGCCCTATTTTTTTGTGTCCACTGGAAACATACCCCAAATCAGTTTTTTTTTTATTCTCACCCGAGGACATTTTTCTTCCATTTTTTTGTTCAGATAGAGTAGGAGGGCGAAAGAAGAAGAGAGAGAGAAACATCGACATGAAAGGAACACATCGAGTGGCTGCCACCCATACAACCCAAACGGGGCCGGGGACAAACTGCAACCAAGGTACATGCCCTTAGCGGGAACCAAACCTGGGTCTCTCTGGGCCGCAGGTCAATGCACTAACCACTGAGCAAAACTGGCCAGGGCCCAAATCAGTTTTTAAGCTCTAATTTTAATCATCCACTGTTAAGACCTACCTCCCAACCCTTTTCCTGTATAGATTGAGGGAATTGTTGAATAATTATATATATATATACACACACACACATACACACACACATACATACACACACACACATATATATATAATCTAAATAAAATACATATACATGAAAATAATGGAACATGTACATTGTAGTCAGTATTAAGTTTTTAAGAGCTGGAGATTCTATTTTCATGTTTTTTTTTAATATTCTATGGTGTACATTTTAGACATTCAATAACTTAAATTTGAGAACACTAGGGTATTCTATAATAGGCAAAGAACCAGGAACCAAGAGATGATGTATATCTGTCATTTCTGGAGAACTATTATACCCTATTCTATTTATGATCACAGTAAGAATAATAAAGAAAATTATACAAACAACATTGCATTGCTGACGATAAAGATGAAGGAATTGGGTATTATAACTTTTTAAATATTAAAAAAAATAAATTTGGTACCAAAGTATGTGTACAAATTTATGAGCTGGTTAATATTGAACATTTATAGAGTCTAGCAATATACTGACCTTATATAGGAGAGATGGGCATTTTTTATCCACTACATTATATGTAGATATTATTTAATCTACCTTTGGACCTTGTAAATGACTACAAATTTACTATCTGTAGATAACTGCTATGTTATGAACTCCCAGAGAGTTTATAAAATCTTTGTTAATGACTATCAAAACAGGCTGAGTCCATTTAATGAGAAATGTTTGCCCTCAAAGAAGAGTTGCAATTGTAACTATTTAGCATATAAAGGGAAATTATGACACATTTTTCTGAGGAAGAACCTGAGATTTCTATGGGTAGTTACTGTGCAGTGACTCTTTGAACTTTCAGAGCTCAGTTTCTTTGGTACTTTTTTTTTTATCCTCACCTGAGGACATTTTTTCATTTTTTGTTCAGATAGAGTGGGAGAGAGAGAGAGGAAGAGACAGAGAGAGAAACATTGACGTGAAAGGGACACATTGAGTGGTTGCCACCTGCACAACCCAACTAGGGCCAGGGACAAACTGAAACTGAGGTACATGCCCTTAGCTGGAACCAAACCCGGGTCTCTCTGGACCGCAGGCTGACACCCTAACCGCTGAGCCAAACTGGCCAGGGTTCTTTGGTACTTTTTAAAAATTTATTTATTTAAAAATTTTTTTTTCCTTTATTGATTTTAGAGAGAGAGGAAGTGAGAGTGAGAGAGAAAGAGAAAAATCGATGAGAGAGAACATTGATTGGTCGCCTCCTGCATGTCCCCCACTGAGGATCTAGCACACAACCTGGGCATGTGCCCTGACCGGGAATGGAACCAGTGACCCCTTGGTACATGGCTCAACGCTCAACCACTGAGCCACAGCAGCCAGACTCTTTGGTACTTTTTAAATATGAGCCCCTCAGGTAACTTTTTTCCTTTGGATACTGCTTTAAAGAATGAACTATATATAATAAAATGCTTTAAGATTTTCCATCTGCCCTTAAAATACCGAGACCTGAATTTAACATATGGAAAGTTAGTTCCTGAATTCTGTGTAGTAAATACACAACTGTACAAAGCATACCATTGCCATGTCATGTTCATCTGTGCCAGATTTTCTTTTTACCTTTTTAGCTGCTGTGTTAAAATATGAAAACAATGTCATGAATATCAGGCAGTTTAACTGTTCTCCACACCCCTACTGGCTTCCAAACTTTATGGATGTTTTCACGTGGTCTTTGCCTTTTGTTGGGGAAAAAGGTAAGAGAACTAACAATTTGGACCAACAATTGTCTTAACTAGTGACCAGAGCACACTTTTATATTTGCATGACGGTTTAGAAATGTTTATTTTTTTAAGTTATTAGAAATGTTTTCTTATCTTCCTTGTTTTTTATAAATATTTTTTAAAATACTTTTTCTTTATTGATTTTAGAGCGAGTAGAAGGGAGAGGGAAAGAGAGAGAGAAACATCAATAAGAGAACATCGATTGGCTGCCTCCTGCATGCCCCACACTGGGGATCAGGCCCATAACCTGGGCATGTGCCCTAACTGAGAATCGAACCAGTGACCTCTTGGTGCATGGGTCGATGCTCAACCACTGAGCCACACCAGCCAAGCATGTTTTTTATAAATACTTTTAAATGACAATTGGTTTTTAAATTATACTTCTAATTGATTATGTTTTTCTTGTTCTAAATATCAACTTAAAGCAGCTATCCTGTGATCACCATGTTAAAATAACATGTCATTATACCATTCTTTCAGTGATTTCTTTAGTGATAAAGAGATTTAAATAGGAAATAATGCCCTTAGAATTTTCTTTGTGCACCTATACAAATAAATGTAAAATGAGCCTGGTGGCTTAACTTCTTTGCAGAATGGGAGGAAGTCTTTTCATGTGCATATCAGTGAAGATAAAGGTTCTGGATAGTAGTCTAATGAAATCATTTAATTATGCAATAGAATCTTCAAAGACCCCAGACTTTTACTGGAGCAAGTAATCTCCCAAAATTTTATATAAACCAGAAAGTCTACTTATAATGCTACTCTGTAGCTACTCTTAGTAGCCTAAAGACAAGTCATTTTTATATATGTTTATTTAACAGTATGTTTATTTAGTTTTCCACATCATTTTGGAGGAAGTACCTTATTAACTATTTAAATTTGGGGCTAGTTTTTTCAGTGAATTTATTGTTCTAAAATTGGCTATTTTATTTTATCTTATAGTCACAGAGATGCTGGTTAACATTCTCAACATATGCTCTGATGATGAGTTGATTTCCGAGGATGACATTGAAGGTAAACTTGCCTTTTCCTCATTTGAACTAGAAATGAAGAAGTTTTAATTTGAATTTGTTTTGAATAAATTTTTCTTATTAAAAAAAATTGTGGCCCTGGCCGGTTTGGCTCAGCGGTTAGAGCGTCGGCCTGCGGTCCAGAGAGACCCGGGTTCGGTTCCCGCTAAGGGCATGTACCTCGGTTGCAGCTTGTCCCCGGCCCTGGTTGGTCATGCGGGTGGCAGCCACTCGATATGTCTCTTTCACGTCGATGTTTCTCTCTCTCTCTCCTCCTCTCTCTCCCTCCCACTCTATCTGAGAAAAAAAAAAAAAATTGTGTTCAGTGTTAAAAAAGAAAAGAAAAATACAAGAAGCCATAAATAAGAGGGGGAATAGAAAAAGTCACATGTAATCCTATCATCTCATATCTACTAATAACATCTTGGTGTATATGTGTTAGCTTTTATCTTTGCATATATTTATGTCCACTCTTTTTTCTTTTTAACAAAAATGAGGTCATATGATAGTATCATGACATTTACTTTTTTTTGTAGACTGATTTGTAATGGTTACACAGTTGTACATGTCATTATTCTTTGTTTTAACCAATCCCCTGCTGTTGGATATTGGATTTTTTTCCAACTTACTTTATTCTTAATTTTTTGTTAATTTTACCTGAGGAGGACATTTTCTCTTGATTTTTAGAGAAAGTAGATGGGATGGAGAGAGGGGGAGAGAGAGAAACATTGATGTGAGAGAGACACATCAATCAGTTGTCTCTCACATGTGTCCCTGCCTTTGACCCAAGCAGAGAATTGAACCTGCAACCCAGGCACATGCCCTTGACTGGGAATAGAACCAGTGACCCTTCAGTCCTTGAGCCAATGCTCTAACAACTGAACTACACGGGACAGGGCTCCAACTTTTTTTTTTTAAGCCCACAGTTTTCAACTCTTATGATAAATTTTTGCACATTCTGTCCAATATTTGTTACATGCTTGATATGTGTCAAGTGCTGTTTAGATCACTGCTTCCAATAAGCTTATGTTCTAGTGGAGGGAAGACAAACAATAAATATGTCAGATGTTGATCTGTTATGAAAGGAAAGAAAGCAATGTTAGGATATGAACAATAACATTTTCTTGATTACTTCTATAGGATAAATTTCCAGAAATTGAATATCTGTGTCAATTAGTACTTAAAATTTTAAATCGGATACAGATAACCGCTAGAGAGGCTGTACAGGTTTACATTTCATGTGTGAGGCGTAGTTCACAGTGCTTTCCTCAGTACTGTTTATTATACGTTTTATAGTCTAGTGTTCTTTAAATTTTAATTTGTTTTTATGATGACTAATGAACATTTTTTCTTGTGTTTATTGACCATATTTATCTCTTTTGTGAGTTGTCAGTTCATACCTTTTCTCCATTTTTCTACTGGGTTATGTGCATGTTTGTTTGTTTTTCTTCTATTGCCAGTGAGAGATCTTAATATAGTAACATTTTGTTGCATGTGTAGCCAAGTATTTTTTTCTAGTGTATTGTGGGAGGCTTGGTTTTATTTATTTATTGTTTTATTTATTTATTTATTATTGATTTTAGAGACGGAGGAGGGAGAGACAGAGAAAGGGAAACATTGATGTGAGAGAAACACATGGATTGGTTGCCTCCAGTAGGCGCCCCCACCAACTAGGGATTGAACCTGAAACCTAGGTATGTGCCCTGACTGGGAATCAAACTCCTAATCTTTTGGTGTATGGGATGCCTCTCCAACCAACTGAGCCACACTGGCCAGGGCAAGGGAGGTTTGATTTTAAAGGTAGGTCTTAATTTATCTGAGAATGCAGAAGATTCTGGAAAGATGGTGGCACCTGAGCACAAACCTCTAACTGTCTTATTCTCTCCAAGCTATGTGCTAAGGTGATTCAACTATTGGTTTAAACTATCTACATAGTGGAGAAAGCCTAGCTTACTTAGAGAATATAGAGGAGAGTCCTGCACATACTTACACTTCCAATTCCACATGAAATGTGCACAACAGATAGTGCATAGCTTCTGAGTACCTTTACGTGTGGGATAGAAGAGCACTGCAAAGAAAACAGTTCTTGAGCAAAAAGTGCAGGCAGGTAAAAGTTAAAACAGAATTAAAATTTTAAGTTAGTGTACGGTGAAATATGTAACATGGATTTAGGAAAATTTATATTTGGATCAAAGTGGAAATGGAAATTATTGTGAACTCTATTGTATGTATTAAGAAAGAATTCTTGATAATTATAAAGATATGTTTACAAAATTATGCCAAAAATTATATATGGGAATATTTGAAGTATCATCTGTAGTAGCAAAAGATTCAAAACAATCTAAATATCCTTCTGTGGAGAGCTGTGTAAATCAATTTTGATATATCCATATGATGCCCTGGCCTGTTTGGCTCAGCGGTTAGAGCGTCGGCCTGCGGTCCTGAGAGACCCGGGTTCGGTTCCCGCTAAGGGCGCGTACCTCGGCTGCAGTTTGTCCCCGGCCCTGGTTGGTTGTGCGGGTGGCAACCACTCGATGTGTCGCTTTCACATCGATGTTTCTCTCTCTCTCTCTCTCTTCCTCTCTCTCCCTCCCACTCTACCTGAACAAAAATGGAAAAATGTCCTCGGGTGAGATAAAAAAAAAAAAAAGAAGAAGATATATCCATATGATAGATTCTCTACATGAAATATATTTATACAAGCCTCCTTTTTCTCTTTCTCTTCTAGTTAGCTCTTGTTCAGCTTATCACAGCATCTTCATGGAAAACATTTCTGACCTCCCTGACTAGATCCAAAACCTCTTCTATCAGTGGTGCTAACTTCTCCTTAGCATTTGATAGAATTGTAGTTTTACTTTTATCTACACTATTATAAGATTCATATATTTACCCCCACTCCACTGTAAACTTTCTGAGTGCTGGGACAAAATGGTTTTTGATCACCAATATAGCCCTAAAGTCAAGTGCAACAAGCATAGTAGGTAAATATTTGTTGTTAGATTGAATGGTATAAAGTGTGACTACTTTTAAAAAAAGGAATGATATATAGATATGGGGCTGATATGAAAAATTTATTAGATAGTCTGTTAAATGTAAAAGTAAATTGATAGAATCCTCTCATTTCCATTTTTTATAAAGTGTAGATATAAGCTAATATGTGCTTTCAAATTTTGTTTTTGAAAGGAAATGAATAATAACTTCTTAGGTTAAGATGATTAATTGAACACATTTCTAATTCCATTTCTTCCTGAAACCACACTAAAACCACAATACAACTTTAGTTTATTTAAGTGATATAAGCTTTGTAATATCAAAGTTTATATCAAAGTGGAAAAAGGATTTCCACTTTGTAATGCCAGACTAGATAGTTTAAATCAACCCTCTTAAGACAACTGGAAAAGCTAGACAAAACAGTTTTACATTCAGAAAGCTAACAAAGTAATAAAAGATTACCAATTTGAGATTTGGAGAGAGGTAAGACCAACATTTGGGACTGTCTTTCCTAAAGACATTCATGAATTTCAACAGAGGAGGCTAAGAGATGGAGCAGAACTCTTGGTAGAAGTTAAAAAAGTTGAGTTTCATGGCTTACCAAGGGGTGATGTGAGTGCCAGTAAGCTTTTTGCTCATTGTTTGGGACCCCCAAAAGTTGCATCTGTGTAAGAGTAAGGATGAACTGTAAATAGAACCTTCAAATAATTTTAATTCCTGAAATTTAAACAAGGTAGTCTTAGGAACCTAGCAAAAGCAAATCTCTCTAAACTAAGATAACATCATGTAGAGCCTTAAATTACTACAAGGAATCTTTCACATATAGTATGTGGCTCACAGTAAAAAATAACTAGACATACAAGGAGACATGATTACATGAATGAGAACCAGCAGGAGCAGAAAAAAAAGAAAAAAATAGACCACAGGTTCTCTGGACATTGGCTTTATCAGACTAAACTTTAAAATAACTGTGTTTAAAAAAAGCAAAAACAAAAGTGCTTACTATGTTCAAGAACATAAAAGACTAGATTGAAAATATTGGCAGAGCCCAGTTGGTGTGGCTCACTGGTTGAGTGTCGACCCATGCACCAAGAGGTCACCAGTTTGGTTCCCAGTCAGGGCACATGCCTGGGTGTGGGCTCGATCCCTAGTGGGGTGCATGCAGGAGGCGGCCAATCCATGTTCTTTATCATCGATGTCTTTATCTCTTTCCCTCTCCCTTCCTTTCTCTCTAAAATCAATAAAAGAAAAATTATTTTTTTAATGAAAATTTTGGCAGAGAATATAAATTATGAAAGAGAATTTAACAGTTGATAAAACACCAAAAGAAAATTCTAGGAATAAAATAAATTAAAAAACTGAACAGATTAATTAACAGCACTTTTAATAAAACTAAACAGAGAACAAATCAACTAGGTTAGAAGAAACAATCTAGAGTAAATAACTAAAGAAAAGTAAAATACCAAAACAGCCTAAGAGACAGAGATACAGGCCTCTCATCTCTGTGTTTGGAGTTCCAGAGAAGGAAGGGAGAATGGGGTAGAACCAATATTTGAAGAAATAATGAATGAAAATTTTCTAAAACTGGTAAGACATTAAACTATAGATGAAGAAGTCCTATAAACCAAAGCAAAATTAATACAAAGAAAACAACACCTAGCCAGCACATCATAGTAAAAGTGCTTCAGATGAAAGAAAAAAATCTTTAGGCAGCCAACAAGAAAGATTATTTTCAAAAAAGAACAATTAAACTGGCAGTAGAGTCTTAATGGAAACAATAGAAGCTGGAAACAATGTAATAAGATATTCAAAGCACTGAAAGATGGTAACTGGTAATTTAGGATTCTGTATCTAGGAGAAATACCCTTTAAGATGAAGAGGAAATAAAAATTTTCATATATTTTTCCATTTAAACATTTACTATGAGAATTACCAGGAGACCCACACTAAATGAAATTCTAAAGAATATTATTCGAGCAGAAAAAAAATACCAGATGGAAGCTTTGAGATTCT